GAGAAAAATGTAGCAGCTGCTGAATTCACGTTGATTGAAGTTCATCATATGTATACAGCAGTCCGGTCAGGCCGTCGCACGTGACTGATGCTCTCCGTTTTCACCATGTTTTCTGTCGTCACTTGAGAGATGAAATACCCGTTTTCGGCAATTTTGGAACACCGATTCTCAGCACTTAGCAGCACTTTGAGCCAGACTCTATATGACCATGTTTGAGAGGCTCAGCTGGTGAGGCGTGCCAGAATGATTGGTGCCATGATTCCTTACGAGAACAAAGTCTAATAAAGTGGCCTTTGTGATATACTGGATGTGTACATACTGGCAGTTGCTGATGCACACGCAAGCTGAATAGTTTGACTTCCACGCCTTCTCCCTGCAAAGGGTTTTGGAGTACAAAACGAGATCAACCATTCATAGTCTTTGAAGGCCCGGGCGGCTAGGGTTTTGATACCATTCAAAAGCCTCTTGGATCTCCGGGTTCATGGGTTCATGGAGCTGCCATGGGCCCGCGACAGCAGCGCGAAAGCGCGGTGGCGCACTGCTGTGCTGACATCGCCACTGCGGAGTTTGTGGCGCTGGACTTGGAATTCTCGGGGCTTTTCTTAGATGTGGACGATCGCGGGATGCTTGGATCAGTCTTTCAACGTTGACTTGGACACAGCATGACACAGCATGGCACAGCATGACACAGGTGCCTTGAAGTCAGGTAGGCCCCGCTCGAGCCAAGGTTTTTTGCTTTGTTCATCAAACAACTCCCGTGGATGTGTCAAGATTAGTTTTTGGGGTTTCGGGATGTTGGCCGTGTAAAACGGCCATCTAAACATTCGCTTGAATCAGGATTCCTTCACAGAAAAGGCAAATCATGTTCGTTTATGCAACTAAAGAAATGTTCACTTTCGGGTCTAAAGACAGGACATTCTTTCGGAACATGCCGTAAGCATGGTCTTCTCGCGGAGGGTGTTGGTTGAATAAATGTGATGGTTGCATGCTGTAAGCAAGGTCCAAGTTTGGAACTTTGGATGCCAACGAGATGAAACCTGGGTCAATGAACACTTTGCTGATAGGAAATCAGGGTCGCTCAACTCAACTGGAAAGTCAGGTGCGACATCCTTTTCCGCGAGCTGATGCACTTTCAGCTGAGGAAAGCTCAGAATCCATCCTTGCAGGACTACTACACCCGATGCATTACGAGCATCCCAGAGTTCTTGCCCCTTCAACTGGGTCTTTGTTGTGCTCATCGTTCTGCGGATTCCCCCAATGCCTGGGAGCTTCGGGTGCATGAGTTTAATTTGTGGCCCTGCAAGCGCTTGTTCGTCTCGGATTTCAAGTCCTTGCAATTCCTCCGAGAGCACGGCTGCTTGGCTCAAGAGTGAACGGCGAACACCGCAACTTCTTTGTGGCAGGTTTTGTTTGGTCACCTGAGTCACCTGCTTTGATAAGTCACTGATTCATTTTTCCCAGCTTGTTGATGCTTGGTACTTGTTTCCCAAGTGACACGCTCCAACGACCCGAAAGACGCGGAAAAATCGAGGTCCGCCCCTGACCTAAGCCTCGGCGTGTGGACACCCTTCCGAGGCTTCGATTTCAATGCTTTCCTGGAGCATGGCTTCGCCTTCTCCCGCCTCGACTTTGATAAAACCAAGAGGCCCCGAAGAAAGCAGGACGCCAACCAGCTGATCCGCGCGCTGCGAAGTGCTGGAGGCTGAGTGGCAGATCCGCCTTCTTCCGTGGGGTTAGTGGAAATAGGATGAAATAGGCGGGTAGCTTTCAAAGTGGAGGGCCCAGCGTTGCTGGCGCTTAACTTATGGGTGCTTTTGAAGAGCTTTTGACTTATGTTGACTTATGTTTTCTACTTCAACTTATGGGTGCTTTTGACTTATGTTTTGTACAGATCAAGTGGAGATCGGATTTCAGGCGTTGTTCGCCGGCCTGTTTCGTCGGTCTCATCGTCTCTCGGGTCATAGGTGAAAGCGTCCTAGGAGAAGTAAATGTAAGCGTCCTTAGCGCTGTGGGTGGATGAGCCGCTGTTGGCTGAGTACCAAAGTATCATCCAATAAATAGAATCCATGCCACCCCTTGACAGCTGCAACAAGCGTGACATTTCCAATCAAAGTACAGTGCTTGAAATTCGGGAGGTCCAGGTGTTCTATAGATTCATCAGATTTGGGAGCCTGAGTTGCATTCTTTGACACCGCGAGTCAAGTGTTCAATTGAACATAATTTAGAAGCAAAGAAGGCTCAACTGTCCAAGTTTCAAGTACGCATCCAACTCTGTTGAATTCAGTAAGGAGTGCCTTTGGTGGTTCACAACGGCCTCTTGGATTTGCTTCACTTGCATCATGGCTTCATCGGAGATTTGCCCAAAGAGGTCAGGAGCTTCTGCGACAGCTGGACGTCACACTTTCCCCTGCTCTTTGATACCAGGCATTTGGCCCAAGAGGGCAGATACCACATCCTGAAGCATGCAGGAGGGGTTGAGCAGCCAGACAGCTAGTGTGACCCTGGTTCTTCAAAGTGACCGTTTGATACGCTGGGTTGAGGTCACTTAGGGACTCCAAAAAGGTCACTTTGAAGAAGGTGGAAAGACTAATTTAATAGCAGTGTGTGAATCCTTCGCAAAAGGTTCTTGTGTCTTAGGGTTTGCTTGAAACTACGACATTTCGGTCCTGGGTCGCTACCAGCCAGCTGCTAGACTGGTTGTTCATGTTCATGACCAGTGGTATCAGTGGGTGTGTGCGTCAGGGAGGTCCCTTCTGCCTTCAGGAGGGCTCTCGCTGGAGAATCTTCATCGACATTTGATGAGTTGTTCTGAGCTCTCAGGACTTTCCTTTGAGGCTCACATTTGTGACAACAAGTCTTTGATTTGTTCGTTTGAAGTTGGTTTGTCGTTCATGGATATGACAAAAAGACAAGCAGACCGGACCAGAAGAGGAGGTTGACTGGTTGACGTGTCCTGTTTTTCTTCAGTGGGCCCTCCAGCTTAGAATCGATTAATCAGTCCGTGATGTACTGGTGCAACTCGCTTGGCGCTCGACAGGAAGTCACGACAGGTGACAGCGAGCCGCGACAGGCGCATGGCTCAGCCGGACAGGATGCCATGCTGACAGCAAAGGTGCTGGTGATGGAGATGCAGATGTATCTCCAGTCTGATTGGCTGCAAGCTAGGGAGCAAGCCTTGGAAAAAGGACCCCATCTTGCCCCCTTGGTCGTGTTGTTGTTGTTGTTGTTGTTGTTGTTGTTGTTTTTGGAGTTCGGTCCTTGTGTTCGTCCAAAGGGCCTGGTCTTTGGAAAAAAAAGAGTTCCAGCCCGAAGAAAGACGGAGGGATTTGAAGAAAGCGAGGTCTTATAAAAGCAGATGGAAAAGGAATAACAAGTATGATCAATCAGGGATCAATATTTCGACTTAGATATAGACACCAGATGGAGATTGCTGTCATATGTTGGATTGAGTGGATCAACTGACAGCATGCAGCCTGCAGACCGTTCCCATGACAGCAGCACAACAAAGGAAGAACCACAAAGAAACACTTGAACACTTGGCAATTCATTTCGTCAGAACTGCCAATTCTCTGTAGGAACTGCAGAGGCAAGTGTTTGAGCGCTCGTGGAAGACTTGAGAACCGAGGTGCTGAAGAGAGCCTTCACAAGTCCCAAAATGAACCACGGGAGGCAGGGAGGCAGGTGAAGAAGGTTAGACAGTCTTAAGTCTTAAAGTCCTAAATGTCTTAAAGTCTTGAGCAACGTCATGTGCGCAAAAGACAGCAAGAGCATGCGCGTTGACAAACCATTCCCCACTAACTACAGTGCAAACAATGAAACTGCGACAAAAAATCTGCAAACCCTCTATTTAAGCAACACACCAACACACCCTCAAGGGAAACTCCCACGTCCTCCAAGCTGGAGCCGGAGGGATGGAGCTGGAAAGGGATGAATTCCGAGCTTTGGCAACTGTAGCCAGAACTTTTTAGGGTGTTGAGCAAGCTGCACCAGATGGAAGACCAACTCAATCACTTCAGCCCCATCTTGAGACATACTGAGACATACTGAGATACAACCACTCGTGAAGAAGGGAGGCAAACTGCTGACGGTCGACCCGTTTTTCTCCCTTTTGGCGGTTCCAACAAATCGGACCTTCTGACGGTCGTGGTTCCGTGCGGCCAGGACGGCAGAAGCGACTGGCCGAGCTCCAAGCAGAGCTGCCAGCTGGGTGGCAGGAGGCAAGGGAGACCCATCCAGCAAAAGAGACCTCCCTATCCGCCCGACCCTCAAGCATCCACACCCTCAGACTCTCCTATGTACCCTTTGGATCCTTAGGACTTGCTTGTATCAGCCAGGCTCCAAACTTTTGGTTTGCCTCTTAAGCTTCACTAAGGCACTAGGTCGAAGACTTGCAAGGCTGGAGCCCGCCATTTCATGGGGTGGATCACGGTGGATCTTTCGTTGGGTGGAGGGAGTGTGCAGTTCACCCTTGAGGTGCATCAGCTGGCTGAGCATTGGGGCGTCAGCATCTACCGTCAAGCACGGACAGACTTTGGAGCCGGTGGAAGGAAGCGCTTCGGAGGTGTCAAAGGGGCACGTCGGCGAGTGGTGGAGATCAAAGAGGATTTGGCCAAGGTGCAGTATGCAGCAGAAGACGCACCGAACGGGAATGAGATGAAAGACGCGGAGCTCGAGAGGCAGGCTTTCGTCGGTTTTCGTGGCTTTTGGCGGGGGGGGGGGGGGGGGGTATTTTCTCGAAGGCGGCCGATTCTGAGCAGATCCCACAGTTAAGGGAGAATCTACTGATCTACTGTACATGTTCCCAAGCAAGATCGGTTCCCCGGTGCCCAGGTGTACTTCTTGTGCTCAGGCCAATGGTGTCTCAGGAGCTCTTGAAGTCGCATGAGCTCTGCAGTCGCTTTCGCAACGTCTTGGCCATCGTGGGTGCCTCTCCGGGCCACTTGTGCCTGGCACGGCCCACGGCCAAAGCGACCGAGACGGAGGCGGTGGATGGCGCGATGAAGCTCCGGGAGGCGGTTAGAGATGAGTCGCAGAAGTTCGGGGCCAAAAAGGTTCCGTGGCGGGTGGAGAGGAGTCTGTGGATGACTTGAAGTCGACAACCCATGGCCTCAGACCTTTTCTGGAGGGTTTGCGGTTTGCTGATCTCTCCAGCGAATCCAGTGGGTGTGCGGGTGCTTCCTTTTTTGGAGGGCCAGGTGACAGCTCATGAGCCTCAAACCTTGGGGGGGGCAATGCGGGGGATTTTGGGGTTCAATGATGTTACAACCTCACACCATCTCGCTGGGAACCGGTGGACCCGGTCGGTTCGCTTTGCTGCTCCGAGGCGAGATCGCCAAGCATCGAGAACAGAAGGATGAATGCTTGAGGTGGGATGAAAAGGATGCGGAACAAACACTGTGACATCCAAGAATGAAGAGGGATACATGAAACGCAGTAATTAGTGTATATCTACTACAGTATTACTTATAATATCATTATATAATATATAATATATTATTATATATACTACTATATTATATTATATACTTTATACATCTTTATACGTGCATATATTTAAATGTGCAACAAACCAACAATACAGTGATATCTTTCAAGGGTGATATCTTCGGCTGTAGCAGTGTTGCTGCATATCATAAGATATCGTAGACATGAAATTAAGGCGTGTTTGTCAATGAAAAGTTCTACAACGTTCCAGGTTCAAAGACTTCCTGGTGAACCTGACTCCTGCTGAATGGAAAGAGCAAAAGAGAGAAGAAAAGAAGCAACGGAAGCTACACCGGCGCCGGATTGCTGCAGATGGCTTGCAGATAGTGCTTGCTTTTCAGAGTAGATGACGCTGGCACCCCTACATGTCAGACAGATGGGGGTCCATATAATATAAACCTCCGACATTGGGGATGGGGCCATCTAGTCTCAATCCACTATAGTGTTTGCTTTTTCTGGTTGAACACATCCCTGAACATATACTTTCACGGTTCACCCGCTGAAAAACCGACCAGCCCCGGCGGCCGATGGCTCCAAACCATGAGGTTTGGGGTCAGTAAACTTGGGGAACTTCCCCTCAGGTGTACTAGTCTCAAATGCGGGAAAAGTCCGGTTTGACTCAGAAAATTCCCAGATCCAAGATCCATCGGCTCTCAAACCCATCCGCACCCTTCGGTCGGCACCTCGGGATTTAAGGTAGATGCCCGCATGGGCGAAATAGAAGAGCGGATGCAAGCGGAGATTGAAGCAGAAGAGCAGGCAGGCATAGGACGTGTTTCTTGTTTTTTCTGTTGGTACCGTGACTGATGAAGGGCAACTTTGGAAGTGGCAGGGTGTTGATATAAGGATGTTTCAGGGTACGAAGGTGTATATGAAGCATTTTGTGGTTGAACATGTTGAACTACAACCAACTGGTAAATGAAAACTAACCAAGAAACCAGGCCATCGCACGAAAAGCGATGCGATGTCTCCTGATTGGACCTGCTGGACGGTTGTTTTTTGGTGTGACCAGAGTCTCTGGCGCCGGTTCCAGGCTTTCAAAGAGAAGGAGGAGAAGGAGAAGCAGCCTGGCGGGCAAAAGAAGCCATACTGTCCTTGTGCGTGTGGTAAGGACCCCCAACACCCTGCACCCCTGCGTGGTTCGGGGCGATGTTGCACAACATGGGTGACGGATAGAAGTGGGGGTGACAGCAACCCTGCAGTCAGGCTCTTTAGTGTAGACTCTTTTTCAGTCAACCTGCGCAGAGCCACATCCTCCGTGTTGGTAGGTGACCACAAGCAAGCGTCAAGCTCAGTGGCAATGCTCTACCTGTCGCCTAAAGTGCAAGACCCCTTGTTATATCTTGTTACCGATATGCTCACGACACTTCGTAGACTTTTCGTATATAATCCGGCACTCGCATGGCAATTCATCACATATATTCGTAGTTTCACAGGAGATGTCAGGGGTCCTGCCTCGGCTTTGGCATCATATCTCAAAAAGCTACGATGGGAAGTGACCGCCAATGCAACGCTCATAGGCCCTGGGGGCCTCAACATCAACCTTCGCTCTAGCAAATTTATTAAACTTTCAAACCCGAATCGCTTGGGATTGGTACTGTCATGCCGACATTTGCCACCGCAAAGGTGTCCCGCAGGACCCTTTTGATTCGTTTACTACCCAGAAAATTCTGGGAAAGCTGTCCGACCGACAAAGACGAATCTTAGCCCTAACACTAACTTAGGGGTGGCAATCCAATGGAGTTAAAGCTCTCTGGAATGCCTATCATAATCCTAACTGCCCCTGGTGCGGCCTGTACGATACCCATAAACATCAACTCCTGGAATGCCCCGCATTCCACTCAGTCCGTGATAAGCACCCGGACGCAGTCCATTCACGGAACTCTCACCCGCACCTCTGTTGGTTCCCATTACCCCGGCATGCACCAGAAGTTGAACTAGCCCGCCAAGCAATGCACTTGCGGGTGCATACCTTTCAGACAAACCTCACCATACCCATCCAAGATGGCACTGTCCTGTATACCGATGGATCTTGTGATAACCCTTGCGACCCCTACACAGCACGCGCTGCCTGGGCCGTTGTAGCATGTACTTATGACACTGTGGATAACGCAGAATTTAAGTATCAAGTACTAGCCAATGGCCACTGCCCTGGACACCAAACCATTAACCGAGCAGAGTTATTTGCCATCTTAATCGCTGCCGAACAAGCGCACCAAGCAACAGATCCTGCGGTCGTCCTCTTTGGATCGGACTCACAGTACGCAGTGTCCGTGATCGAACGAACGGGGCACAGTACGCAGTGTCCGTGATCGAACGAACGGGGCACCATCTGCAATTCCATAGACGAGACCGGGATCTGATTGAGCGGTTGCAAGATGTGTGGGATCCCAGCCGTTTCCATTGCAAAATCAAATCACAGAAGCTAGAAGATGCGACCAACCGTAAGCAGCTCCTGGATATACAAGGTAATGCATTTGCAGACAATGCAGCAGTCAAAACTCGCCAACTTGACGACATTGAATTCCAGGAGCTTTGCCAGCAGATCCGACAGCATTACATTGATCAGACACACATGTTTGACCACCTCTGCGCATATTTACTGGACATTGCATACGCTAGAATGCTCAAAGATGCGGAAGACATCCCCACCAAGCAGGACCCGCTTGGTCATAGTGATCCCCACAGATCCCAGCGAGATAATAGCCAGTTCCAACAGCACATGGCCAAACTTAAAAACTGGAGCTTTTTCAGGAGAGGTCTTCCCGATGCCACCAGAACCCCATAGGGTCGTCTTTTGGTCATGCACCTGGGGTATAAATATTGCTCATCTCGTCTGGCAATTTTGCCTCACACTTCAATGGCCCGCACCTTTGACCCCAGCCACACCAAACAATGCAGGAATCTCATGGACAGAACTTGCGATTTCATTCATGCTGTGGGCGGGGCGGCTTCTACCCATTAAGCTTTCAGTTGGCCCCCCATATGATAGCTGTTGACTCTGACGATCGCAGAGTGCAATTGCAGCCCCCTAAGAAACGCTCATTGCGGGTTCTTTCAGAAACATTCCGGCTCATTGTCAAACATATCCAGACTTTTCCAATCTTTTTCACGTTCAAAAATTTTCCCAGTCTACTCTAAACAAGGTTCTGCTAGCCTTACACGTTGGCGTTTTACAGCTTACCATGAGTCTGGTATTTCTCATCGACCACGCCTACCTAATGCATCGGAGACCTGTCAATACCTGCACAATTTGATCCTCACAATACCGCATGAACCGCCGTTCCATAATGAAATTGTGCCTCCTGCTCTCCCTGCATTAGAAAGGCCGCCACCATGGCCCAATCTAACGGAAATTGATGCGAAGAAAAGAGATAAATTCACGCAGCATGTTCGCTACTGCCTCTTTCGGAAAAAGCCCTTCGATGATATGATATTTCGTGGTCCTAATTGAGCACGTCTAGGCTCCGGCAAGGTAATTCGTAATTCTGTTGACATTGGTGACCGCTTGAACCTTGTTTCTTGATCCTACTTTCGGCTTGCACATAACGCTCCTCTACCAGTTTGCCACTTTCGTAGGACCCAGTTCTCTTTGTGTTTCATAGCTCCAGGTCATTTGTGTCACCTCCAAGTCCCACCCAACCCCGTTAGCAAAGCTAACAAGGGGGGAGTGGGCGCGCGCGACCTGCCCACAAGTGAGTGCATCCAATTGGGGTGGGTTTATTAATCAAGAGTCTACATTAGGTTCTCAAAGGGTCCAGAGCAGCTCACAGCGCTCCGGAGAATGGTGTGTTTTCTCTGAGGAAAGGTCGTCGGCGCCAGAAGAAGAGCGAGGAGGACGAGCAAAAGGAGCGAGACCAAATGGAAGCTCGTCGACGCCGCATTGCCAGCAGCTTGTTAGCAAGATGTTGTTTGTATTTCTAAGCAGGTTTATTGGGAGCAGACTCGGGCAGAAGTGTCTACTTGTTTTTTGCTTGGGCAGCTGCAGGGAAGTATCCCACCAGGGATCAAGTGGACGCAGAGTATCAGGAATACTCCAGTGGTGAGGCCCAGCCAACGCGGATTGGGGGATGACGTGGGGGCTCGTTGTGACATGCCGAGAATGGCTTGGGAATGGGTAGGAAATGGTTATGGCTTGGGCTATTTGCCAATATAACAGACCAAGAAGGCGGATCATCACAAATGGGTTTTGTCATGTACCTTCAGCATAAGATAGACCAAAGACTGCTGGAAAAAGCCAGGAATGACCGTGGACCGGACATGCCGACATGACCTGATAGTCTCGGATACGAATCCAATGGGATCGGAGATGGAAAAACCTCAGCCCCTTCCAGGCACTACGAATCTTCGTCCCCTTTTGGAACGAAGACGCCCCTCGTCTCAACGGCGACGAGTGAGTCCCCACGCTGCCAGGAGATGCCTCTCTATTTCCAAGAGCCCAAGCAGCTGCTGGACATCTTCACATCCCTTGAAGAGTCCAATCTCTTCCTCATTCAGAACTCTCAGGAGAGCACGACCACTGTCAGAGCATGTCAGAGCATCAGATCGGAGAGTTGTCTGTCTTGCGGCGACCGACATCAAGACACAAGGGAAGTCGGTTGACCGATCGCCTAAAGGAAGCATTACAACCCCGGACAACGATCATGGAACTGGAACGTAGCTGAAAGAACCATTTTCCTCTACACGAAGGGTTTGCTCAGGTACCAGATTATTGGCAATCTCCTTTAGGATTCAATCATTTCTGTTGACTGAAGGAACTATGACCAGACCTGGGAATCCTTCTAGCCCCCAGCCAACATCATCTGTTGCTCTTCGCAACCTGACTTCGAGTTCTCTTTTCTTTTAGAAGACTCTAGAGCTGTGGTGCACCAGGTTCCACACCAGCTCCGAGCTCTGGGGCATAAGGACTTCACAACAACGCCTGAAGCGCCGCGCCAGGATACAGAGCAAGCCCTTGAAGAGTTAGACCAGAAGTTTGCTGTTCTGAAAAGGACCCGGGAGGCGTGCCACGCCTGTCGTGGCGTGCGTGGCGATGCATTGGGCAAAATGGACCACGTGAAGGACGTTAGGGTCCACGCATGACATAATGAGAAACAACAAATTTTTGTGTCTCGTGTCTCGTGTCATGTTCAAAGGGGAAGAACCACCGTGAAACACGGTCATTTTTGCCCTCCTCTCTCCATATCCATCTCTATTTTTGCTGCTTTGTGCTTTGTTTTGTTTCATTCACCCTCCTTGTATTGGGACCGGTCTCGACTTCTCCCAAAACACGGTCCCGAACCCCGGTACCGGGTCCAGGGTCCAGGGTCCGATCTTCCAGGCCATGAGCAACAAGATGCACCTGCAGATCTCCCAACTGGAACGGCAAATCTTCGAAGAGAAGAGCAAGTGTGATGAGCTCAAACAGCCGCTGGGCCGCGAGAAACGGCAAACCATCGGAAAAACAAGTGCCGCGTCTGACACGTGCGTCCGTCTCCGGGCTTAGAAGGTATTTGATTGGATTGGCGCATTCGTAGTGCTCGGTCGCATGGGAACCCCCCCAAAGAACTGTCGACAGAACGTCTAGCCACCTCAAAAGAGCCCCATGTGAAGTGGACTCCTTTAGTGCGAAAAGAGAGGAAGAAGACCCAGGGGTCAAAGCAAAGAGACAACTAGGGTGTGTCCCATTAACATCATAATCTGCAACGGTTGGTACAAGATGATCGCTCTTTTTGAACAAGGCTTGCAACCATCATCATCCACTGTAGCCCAGGGAAATCCGGATATACCTAAGGGATAAAGGCTGTTAGAGATGGGAAGCCCTAGCCAAGTGGATTTTCCCACTATTACGCTTGGAGGAGAGATTTTGTGGAAAAGTCTGACTAGCAAGGAATCTGACAGCAACTGATTTGTAGAACCTCACGTGCCAGGAGGATGGTCCCCTCATGTTCAAAGAGGGGACGGACCAGCAGGATGGTCCTAACACTCCATGGGATACTTCGACGGAGGTAGATGTGTTTAGGGGATGGATGGGGGGGAGTCACTTTTGCGATGATTTTGCGTGACAAATCTCATCAAAAATCAATTCATTCTTTGACAAGGCAGAGGTGTCTGAAGAGTTTTCCCTCTAATGACTCCAATGATAAAGTTCTTCCTTTTTGCACTTGCTTCCCTTGCTGAAGGAAGGTGTGTCATGAACAAAAGGCGTAATTGGGGAAACCACTCACTAACACATGCCAGCACCTTCCGTTCGGGGGCACGCCTCAGGGCAATTTCTCAGAAACATGGTGGATCAGAAGTGGAGGACGGTGAGGGCTTGATCGCCCTCGTCTTCATCGGAAAGCGACCGACCCTCCCGACCCGGGCTGATAGGGTTTGGGCCGATGGATGGCCTTCGGCGATGTCGATGGCATGTCTTTTCAATTGATCCTGTAGAAAACTGTCCACGGCGCAGACTGGCAGATATGGCTGAATCGATCCCTGCATTCCTGGCTGAACAGTTCCGAACTGGTCCGTTGATTCGGTTGCGACCGAGGGAGGTTCCCAAGTCCGTTGGCCGAGATGTAAATCAAAGAAACAGCATTCAGTCACTGGTGAGTCATGACAGTCATGAGTCACCTCTCCCAGGGTGTTGGTGTTTTTTTTGCTTTGCTTCACGGAGTACGATTTCCATCAGGTCAAATTCCGCATCCGCTGGCAGGAGTTGCTAGAGGGCCTGGCTGGCGGAGTCGTGGATGTTCACGGCGTTTGCAGTCATGAGAATCAGGATGATGGAGATACACTGCGGCTTGGACTTGGGTTTTTAGGTGGTGGAGCAAAGTCTGCGCAGAGTCTGATTCTTCAGGTTTGCTCGGGCCAAATTGACTCGACCCAATTTCAATTCGGCGGAGACTGGAAGGAATCGTGACTTTCGGACCAGAGTTTTTTTAAAATTCCAGTATATGTTTGGCATGTGCCTCACTCCTCCATCACAGTCTTTCGTACTCCGGCCAAACAATTCGAGAAAAACACCCCTCCCGCTGAACATGGGACTCTCCAAACCGCTGGCGTTGAACCAACGGGTCTTCCACCTTCATGGGTCCAGATCCGCACCGGTCCGCGGCGTGGACGGATCCCAAGGCAAATGCTGGCACGCATCGAGTTCAAGTTTGAGGAGTACCTGGCATACCTGGACGAGGCGAGACCGAATCCAAGGGATTTGTTCGAGAACTCCACTCCGGCATACTGCTGAGGTGAAATGAAGTTTCTGAAGGCCGTGCTAGATTTCACCAGTATTATATGCATGTATAATATATGTATATATATATATGCATATATCACGGGTTCAAGGTTCATTCCGAGCTGCTACGACATGCCTCACCGCTGATTGTTCCAACCAACCGGGTGCCCAACAAGACTTAACAAGAGTGTCAGAGTTGGCCTTTGGCCCTTCAGCATTGGTTCAATGAAGCAACACCTTTGGTGAATCTGAAATTAGAGCCATCTGGTGGGGTAGAGGTGTTGTTTTTCTCCGTACGAGACAGCTCTGGCCTGGAGCGGAACACTCACGCTCCGCTATGCAGGCGGAAGAATCGGGCTTGGGCGCACGTGTGCTGGCGGAAGAGCACAAGAAGGCGTCTCGGACCGTGTGTCGGAAGTGTGTCGGGCGCCGCTTTTTTCGGTTCCCGGCGGGGGTGCCGGGTTCCACGGGGACGGGCGTTGAGAGGTGTCGGTGGCGAGTCCCCAGGAGTTGAGCCTCACAGTGAGATGATTTGATCGGAAAATGGCAGGCTTTTTTGAAGATCAACATGGACACACCCCTCACACCTGTTCTTTTTTTCAGGTAAAGGATAGTTTAAGGGATGTTAAGGGAACATGATCCACCTGAAGTCTGTGTTCAGGATCCGTTTGAGTTTTTTTACCATTGAGGTCTACTTGCCCACAACTCCTTGTGTGATTTTTGGACTCACAGCTGGCCAGCTTTCAGAGCTGGTAGGTCTTACTGTGAATGGTCACTGAATCAAGAAGCTGTTGGGGAAACTGATACACATCAATATACCAAAGTAATACACCAAAGTATATATAACCAGCCAAAAGGCAGACATTTTGCACAGTTGGATATAACACGTCCCCGATCTAAGAGTTTCTGGCTTTAAATCTGCTCACGATAAGAGAGCCTTAAAGCTTGCTTGCGCCTTTGACCTTACCCATTGGATCGAAGTCCCCTCGACCTGAGCTGCCTCGACCTGAGGAGCGGCAGCGGCGATTGGACCTGCGGCTGAGCCGCAAGCTGCATCAAGAGAAGAAGATCGAAGACCGCCTCAAGGTTCCATGTGTTCCATGTGTTGGGTCGTTCTCCTATTTTTGTGCGTCGCCGAGAGAGTCGACCTGGCCTGCCTAGCATGGTATTTCGATGCTGAAGGCAACTTTGGTTGGTCGGTTTTATGAAGCGATCTGCTCAGACTTGGTGTTTGGTGCAGAATGTCTCGAAACTTCGACTTGGCCTATTTTCTGGGACTTCGTAGAATGCCCTGAGCAAGAGCACATCTGTCTTTGACTCAAAATGAGGCTCCGTGAAGAGCACATCGTTTGGGCCTTCCAATTCAACTCTTTGAAAATCACCCAAAACAGATCTCCAAAACCAGCTTCTTCTTCTTCTTGTCTTTTTTTTCCAGTTTTCCACCGGTCGTTTCCTTGGGGGGCGGGCTCTTTGGGTTCACCAGAAGCGCCGAGCCACCAGAAGCGCCGCGCGCCTGAACTGCCAGGCCTCGTTGCATCGATCCCAAGCTCCGGTGCACAAGAAGGCGGGCGGAAGCCGGCCGGTGGTGGTTTTTTGGGTTTGCTTCAAGGGTTGGATGGTAGCTGTTCGAGTCCATAACCACACAGAGATGCTGGCTTATCCTTTTCCCACTGTGGCACTCACTCCGTCCGGCTGCCGCACCCAGGTCGGGAAGCAGATCATGTTCCGCTCAGCTCCACTCTTCCAAGCCCGTGGGGGATGCCCAACGCGCCCGTTCAACGCGCCTAAGGGGCGCCGAACGGACGGAGCCGGTAACTGTTGCTGTAACAAGAAGAAGAAGAAGAAGAAGAAGAAGAAGAAGAAGAAGAATTGAAGAATTGAAGAATTGAAGAAGAATTGAAGAAGAATTGAAGAAGAATTGAAGAAGGACAAGAACAAGAACAAACAAAAACAACTTACATATGGGATTTCTTTTGATTGGACTTCGAAAAAGGGCCATCGCTGGTGATCCATGGCAACTTGTGAGCCAATAGGGCCACCTATGGCCCCGTGCAGGGCCCACACGTTTGTTGAGAACGGAGTGTTCGACTTGGTGCCGCGAGGTCGGGTGGTTCAAGAGGATGATGGCTATGAAGAGAACGTTCGAGAGCACAACATCTTTGGCATTTGGCTCGACAAAGATGGAGTTCCCAATGCTCAGCAACCTGATCCTTGGAAGATTTGGAAGTTCCAGCTGGTTGGGCCATTTCTGAAGTAGGGTTTGAGGGCTTGGCTTTGCTCGCAATTCATTTGTCGCATTAAGAGCCAGCGGAAAGGGAAAGGACGTCTTTACCTTCTGAGGGTTTGCACCGATGACCTCGAATTGGGTACACACTGGAAACTTGAAACCTAACATTGACATGAACTATTATCAGGAACCAAAGACGACCCCATGCAAGACTATTCTCCATTTCCTTTACAGACCACACCAATTTTGGGGGTCCATGTTAATTTGAGGTTGTGCTTGTGTGAGAAGCATGATGCCAACTAAGACCCCACCGGCCGTTTTTTTGGCATATTTTTTTGGCCGAATCTCATCCGTGCGAGCGAAGTGCGGTGGAATATCATTTCCCATCCTGTCATTATTTGATATTGTGTGATGGACACCTGCGTGGACTGGATATCGTTTGTACCAGACTCCACACATGGGCACGCATGGGAATGGGCCCCACTTCTTTGTGTGTTTGGCTGAGGAAAAGGTGGAGGGCTGATGGAGTCGTGTAGCCGAATTTGTGCTCACCGCAAAATTGTGGCGAGCAGCATCAAGGATGCTCTGGGACTGGAAATCTGAAGAAAGATGTGAAACCCAGAGGAAGAGTTAGTGGATTTCCATCTTAGACCCAGAAGTGGCATTGGCTATCCTTTCTTTTTCAGGTGGCAAGACCTACTTTTCAGACGGAAATCCAGTGACTCTGTTAATCACCCGCCATGAGGGCATGGTGGCATAGTGAGCTAGGCCTCTCCAAAAAAGGTCCCAGGCGCCGTTTCACCCATTGTCTCCGCCTTCCACCACCGATCTCTGCCCCTGGCTCGGCCAGCAGCAGGGCGTGCGGGGGGTTCGATTTCCATAAATCGGGAAGTTGTCTCACTGCACGCTTGAAAAGGCAAGAAAGGACGAGTAAATTCAGGGAGCTGAGAGGGGTCTACATGAGAAATGTCTACATTCGATCATAAAGATGCGAAGAGGCAAGTCTGAACTGGACACTTTTGCTGGATCAAGCGGTCTTCATCATGTGTTTTCACGATGTTTTCGGTCACATGCCGTCAGAACCGGATCATTAACGGGGTAATATATCGCTGGTGCTTGCAACGAGCAGCAAACTCCAGCGTTTCCGGCTCATGTTGATGGCACCTCACATGTCCAAGCCTGAGATCGGCACCTGAAAACAGGGAAAGACCAACAGAGGTTGAAGGACCCTAATGTACTCTTGATATAATAACCCCCGCCGAGGTTTACATGGAAATCCTTTTCATATAGGGTGGCTCATCAAGAGTCTACATGAAACATACTATCCCAGTTCGGTACCCCAGGTGATGAGTCGGTCCTATTTACGGTCACAAGGCACGGATGTGCAGCCCACATGGTGCGACACATCACCGTGACAGATGCGCGCGTTCCGCAGCTTCTTTTTTCCTTGAAACTGCGTGGGGGCAAAACGATGCAACACGGAGTTCTTTTGATGTTATGCTCAGGTCAAATGTGGATGAATTCGATATCACTTGGTTACATGGGTCGCAAGCACAAGCGTGTTTTTTCCGCGACACTGGGCGTGAGGCACAGGCCCTTGCAGAAGATCTGGGGGGAGGCAGAAAGCTCTACAGACAAGGCCAGCATGTCTTTATTCCTCAATTCACTTCTGCTTCAACTGTCTTAGCCCCTGGTCTTGACAAACTACTCGTACATCGAACTACCACAGTTTTGCTCGGTCTTTTCTCTGAGTCGATGTCTTCACATGGATGAACGAGGAACCAGCCCTTTAAGTCGGGGCTTGGGAGAGTGCTTCTAAGATTTTAGAAGCAGGCAACTTGATGTGTTCAACAACTCTCCGTGCTCTAACAACTCTCCGTGCTGGATTTGTTTCACGCACGTCTTCGCCACAAAACACATCGCCCGTCAGGAGATCTCTCCCATCGTCCTCTCCGATGTGCACCGACTCTGGGGTCGCCGCCTCGGAAGCGGACGGGCTGTGCACATCCGTGGCTACGCCTGAAGAAGCAAACGGGCTGAGGAGTGCTGACAACGCCGAGAAGTTGCTCCATGGTTTTCCCATGTTTTCCCCTTGGTGAGCAGAATGAGCATCCACCAAACAATGTTATAGATTCTATTATAGATGTATATGTACCGTATATGTATTTGTCTGGTATTTTCCAAAGCTTTGAGGAATTGGCAGATATTTTTTTGCAATCAATTTTTGGAATCACAACTCAACAGGTCCCCTAATTGTGTTGACTACCTTGGAACGTTCCATTTTGCCCAGCGCTTTTGTCGCCGACTAAGGCGATCTGCGTGGGGCCTTGGACTTGGCAGAGGAGGCAGAACGCTTTGGGGAAGCTGGGAGAAAACGCTTGAGATTCATAGAGGACCTCACTTGAGATAGAGAACCTCACTTGAGGTCTCTTGGGAGAACCTCATTAATCTTCGGGGTCTCAATGAGATAGAGAACCTTGCTGACGTTCTGAGCCAATCCTTCGTTTCTGAGTTTCACTGGCAATCCACCACCTGTGAGCCTGCAAGGCTGCCGCTAGCTTCTCCCAAGCTCAAGAGCAGCAAAAGGCCTCCTCCGGTGTGGCTTGCGGTTTAGCATGGGTCAAAGTGGGATTGAACAAGTGGCCCATGACAGTCGAGCCAGGTCTTTTTGATTTTGGTTGAGCCCACGTTTTGGGGTGCTGAGACAGGTCTGAGACGGATGAGACTCGGCACCGACACCAAGAAATCGGTGTCTTTGTGGCTCACCCGGGTGGAAGTGTTTTCAGAAAAAGGACGCCAGGCGCGCCACCGGGAGCGACGATGGCTCGTGGCTCGAAGTGACAGGCTGCGGCTCTGGTGGCGCTCAGCCGCGCGAGAGCGGAGAGAGCAGGCGGAGTGGTCGGGTCGGTGCATTTGCACACACAAGTGGCAGAGGTGTCGTGTTGTTTCTTGGTGGCTGGAGATGGCCGGATGTTTTCATGGTGCACGAGCTTACCTGTGGTGATGAAAAAAGGAACACCATTCTCTTTTACCTTTCAAGCTGGATGTTTTCGTGGTTTCGTGCTGCGCTTAGTCTCCGTCGACTCTCAAAAGCATGTGGTGGTCTTAAGGCTTGAGGTCCAGGCACTCTTCCGCGTCCCACGGCGCACGCCAGGTCAGCGACAAGAACCTGAGACGCTGGCGCAGCTGGAGTTGCTGGTCCAGGAGGCTTGATATGGCTTGATGTGATCTTGGACCACGGTGGACCATGCCAGCAGGGCAAAACCAAGCAGCTATTTTGGGTGATATCATCTCTAACAGAAGTGAGACGACATGGAACAACCTTTACCGTCCATGACTTTTACCTTTACCGTCCATGACATGGCAAAAGTATAATCCTCGGTTGGTAGTCACAATATATATATATATATTATATATATATATACGTCAAGGGGGTACCTGGAGCACCTGGACCAGTCGCAGATTATGGCAGATCAACAGTGACAGCACTGGTGATCAACAGTGACTAGTGACGACTGTGACTGTATCAACAGTCGGAATCCAATGGCCTGACTCACCACGCTCGCTGGAAAGCGCCCAGGCACAGCAACGGCCGGGCACTCCGACTTGTTCGGACGCGCGACGACTGTTCGGAGTGCGGTGACGCTTCCAGAGGTGACACAAGCCAGAAGAAACTGGATGTTTGGATGTTTCTTCAAAGCAAGACACCACTCACCTAGAGAGGTGTTGGGATGAGGGCGTCCTTCGTTGTTCTTGCTTGAAACGACCCGAGTCGCTAGGCCGCGAGGGAACGGACTGGCGAGATGCTTAGGAAAGTGCTGAGGAAGATCTCCAGTGCTTAGCCTGCTTCCACTGGAGGGGCGACATGAGTTTCTGATGCAGGCTTTCAACATGCCCGACCTTTACTACACCTTTCTAACACATGGGAGTTACTCATACCTGCGTGCGCAGTCTAGATGGGTTTCGGGGGCTGCTTTTGTTTGAGCCGTCTTGAGGGTTTTTTGGTTCCTTCGTGCTGTCTGCTGTATGTCATCCCTGTAGATAGGATCAGGCCACCCTTAATTAGGAGATAAGCCACATTGCGGGGTACGGATGAGACTTGCCCCATCCCAATAGTCAGTGCATCTTTGCGACTGTTGAGGTTTCGAGTGCAGGTTGCAACAAGAGCCACTACAAGCTACCATCATCGTCCATGATCTGTTCGTTTTCCTATCCTCTGAGGCTGCACCAGGGTCGGCCCCCCTGACCCTGCCCTGGCAGAGGCACAGGAGTTCCTTCTTGTCTTCTAGCATTGCAAGAGCGTTGTGATCTATCATTCTAATGTTCCTGGGACTCTTTGCAGATTCGGAAGACCTACTTCCGTGATTCTACTGGATCCACTTGGCATGTTATGTGTTCATTCTTTGTTAGCACTGCCACAGCCGCGTGGAGCTCGCGGCGGTTTGTGCCAGGGCTTCGGGCATTTGCTGGCCGCGGAAGCTGCTATGGTGCCATGGGCTTATGTTGGTCAAAACACGCCTGTGGGGGGCTGTTAAGGATACTTCACCAGGATGTGGGTCAATCAACTCATGAGTTGATAACATATATAGATGAGTCTACGACACCTGGGGTTGAGCCATCTTTGTTGTATTCCAACAGACGCGCCCCCCGCTTTCAACTGCTCTTCTATAGTTGGGCCTGCAGCCAGATGAAGTCATAGACTATTCAAAGTTGAATCCTTGTCAAAGGAGGCGAAATGGAGAAGTTACCCCAAGAGGAAGCGCTTACAAAGTTGGTTTGACTTGATAGGGCCAGGAGCACGTTTTCCACTCTGTGGGTTTCGCAATTTGCACAAGTTTGTGGTGGCAAATGGGGCCGGGATTCGAGCTGGAAAGCGAGAGAAACTGTGATACTTCATTTCTTTTGATAATCAAGCTTTCCCCACTCCAGGGCCAATGTGTTTGTGTAGTTATATAGTTATTTTTTTCTTGTAGGCTTTGGCAATCCAGCGGCAATCCACCCCGGCTCCGTGCAGGATCTATCAGGTCCTG